TCAATTCTCCTCCACTCACCTTGTGACGAACAGTGGGCAGAGCATCCACCAGCTTCTGAAGACCCTCGTGCCTTTTACCGATCTGTGAAACAGACAGGAACCCAGCGTCAGCCTCTCCGCCTGCCTGAGCCCACACCGATTTCACTCAGGGGGCCAAGGCATGAGTCGATTTACCTTCAGAAACACAGCTACTACAGCAAGGCCATCATCTTCCATGACTGCTTCTTCAAAGAGACTGTACTTGTCTGCATTCCAGTGCACTAGATGGAGCTGAAGAAAAGAGTCACTTAGTCAACTGCACTGTAAAATAAAAGCTGGGCCTATTATTCTGCTGAGCTGGCTGCTGCAAGCTGGCATTTAAACTGCAGATAAACAGTAATTCTAGCATGTTCTCTGTAGTAACATGGGTGGCTAACCTTGTTTGAATGAATGAGCTCTTGTATTTTTTTGCGTTAAGAGTGAAAAAGAAATTGGGTGCAGTGAACATTACAGTGGCTCAAGTATCGGACTGACCTGCTGATTTTTTGCTGATACCCGACCTGTAACACTACCCCAACAAGCACAAAGAACTGCTGTAACATCCACCCAAATATCTTGACACAGCCAGTTTCCCCAATGGTTTGATTTTAGATCATAGGAATTTCACAAGCAGCTTTTAAGGATTATACAGCTAAGAACTAGTATAACTTCTCTACTTGGAATTCATTGAACAAAAAAAAAAATCTTTTCCATTTCTTATCTTAAAAAAACAATTTAACAGATAAAACAGCAGCAGCACATGTTCCAGGTGTTATGCAAGGAGGTGAAATAATGAAGCAGGTCAGAGGACAAGCATGAATACACAGCTAATGCACCAACAGCTACAGGAAAGTGGCTGCCACCACCGTCCTTGTGCCACCACACTGCTCCGCAGGGTCTGTGTGGCGTCACAACACCTGCTGAGGGGTGGCCTACCTCCGCTGAGAACAGCTTCCGGTCGATGGTGTGCTCCGAGCCCCAGGCGTTGTTCTCCCCCCAGTGGAAATGGAACTGGCACAGCCTGTACTGGTCCTTCAGGGGGCCCCCACTGATAGCTGGCACAGGAAAAATAAGTTGTATGTTCATTATTGGGGACTGAACCCCTCAAAGGCCTGGCAACTAGACAACAGAACAACTTTAAATACTACAACTTACACAGAAGCCTTCCAGACTTTAGTGTTTACTGTTATTCCAGCTTTGAGAGATTTATAAAAGCACATAGGTCTCCAGAACTACAATTTTGTGCATTGTGAGACATCAGTGGATCCAGAAAGTGTCACCTCTGCTCTGGTTTCACAATATCAGGGAGCCTCTCTGCCAGTGCCGGTCAGAGCACAAGTGGCATTAAGAGCGCTGCTGATTTCTCCTAGGTGGGATGCACCAGGCTGAAGCATTAGTGCATTTCTAAATCAACTATAATGAAACAACGCGAGACGCTGAAAATCTATTTAAAGGGGCTCATGTGTATCCCACTGTGGTCCTACACGAGTCATGTTACTGGCCAGCTGTGACCAGAATTCCTCAAGCAGAGGCACGCAATGGCCATCACCCTCCAGAGCTGGGCAGACACTTGAGTCCCCACTGGCAGATCACTAGTGGCTTGGCGTGCAAAGACTCCTTGTTTGCTTATGAAGACTGCAATGACATCAGGCACAAGTAGGCATGCCGGAGGATGGTACCAGCCAGACCACATTCTCCTCGCCCAATTCCGGGGGGTGTAACCACCAACTAGCGACTCCTAGCTGAGAGAAACTGAAGCCGGCCTCTCTGTGCTAAAGCACCGTAGCCTAGCCTAGCCTTTAAAACTGGGCACACAGCTTTCATGCTACTGGATGACATACTGGTGCTTTAGCTCTTGCGGTTTTCCAATACATCGGTCCATGTGCACCACACTCCTCGTGAAAGGAGATACCCACAACAATATGTTTCCACATCCCATATTTCGAAAGGTCCTTGACAAAAAACAAAGGGAAAAAAAAGAAAAATGAAAATGCTTTTGCTGCAGAGGAACAGGCCGGGTCTTCCTGCAACAATCTTGCTGGGTGTATCCAGAAAAAGAGTGTTTTCCACCATCACCACCAGCTTCTCTGTACAAGCACAGCCATTCAGGCACGCCGCTGCTCCCCAGCTCCCACACCCACAGGCGACACCGAGATCTCACAAGCAGCAGCTGACATGACAGAAACAAGCTCGTTCGACAGGCCGCTGAAAGCACAAGACCCACAGGAGCAGCAGTGTACCACTTCACCTCCTCAGCCTCAGCAGAAGGGCACAATAACAACCTCAGCTCTGGAGTCATTTGAACAGAATTATACATTAACTTAATTATTCAGACAACTCCCTGAGTGCATTCCTGTGGAGAACAATATAAAAGACATTTTAAAAGAACAAGAAACCTACGCCGTTGCATTCAATTTACAGAAACTCAAAACTGCTGAACTGAACAAGTGACTACTTGTAACCTAGTGGTGAAAAAAAAACATGTATTCAAAATATTATATGTATTGAATGGATATCTGATTAACTTTGGTGTATCAAAATAAACAGACTGCCTTTAAAAACAATTACAAGCAGGACGGGTGATTCCTGTCAAGTCTTTGTTGACATGTTGGAAGGCATAAGTCACAGTTTTTTTCCTGTTAAATAGTTCTGTTCTTAGTGTAGGAACTCTCAAATGTCCCCAAGCAGCAGTAAAATAGTACAGTTCTTTTTATCTGAGATAAGCAGTAACGAACTAGCAACAAGTCTCTGCATCAGCTGGCTTTAATGTTGCAAAGAATGTCTGGCAGGCCTCCAGTTAAAAACCACTTTTAATTGCATTTTTCTTTGGCATCAGCTGAAATGAAACTTGGTGAAAATGAGTCTGGTAATACCTTATAGTGCTGAACGTACGAAATGCCGATTTAATTATAATTAGCCAATCAGTAGCCCTTGTTCCCAAGGCAGCACAGGGTCATTTATGGCATCAGTAACTATTCCCACCTAGTTAGCGACAAGAGGATCGTGATTCTCTTCTAAAAGGATGGAGTATAATAAATACAAAATATACGCATTAACGTACAGCTCCAATCTTTGGACAGGGGAACAGAT